AAAAGGCCTGAAGTAACATCCAAAACACCTTTCATATTAAGTAGATTTCAATCCTTTATTATGCGTGTTTGTCAAGGATTTTTTAGAAAAACTTCTTACAATCGCACTTAACGCTTGAATGTAACTACAATTGTCTTAACGATGTCATAACAGTTACAATAATAAATCTGCATTTGGCGTCAAAAAATTACTCCTGTGTATTTCCCACAATTATCCTCTGACTGTGGTTACGTTTGGACACATGTCCTTCCTAAGTCCTAAAATTCTGCCATTAAAAAAAACAATTTAAACACTTATTTAATATTGAAACTACTAAGAACAAGTAGTAAACCTATCTCCGAGATATAAATACTACACTGTCAGTGATCCTTGTATTGATTTTGTATGCGGGTATTATATATTTTTATAAATCATGAGATTTGATCTTTAATTTTATATTAAAACTACCCACTGGTGGGAGTTTATTTTCGTGGGGACATTCCTGATAATGCAATTCATGTGTTTTCTATATCACAAATTTGAAATCTACATCATCTGGAGATTTTAAGAAAAGGATCATCCGGTTTGTTTCACTACTTTAACAAGAACGAAACATTATTCTGTATGTAGACGTTAAAAGTACTCCGCTATTTAAATCATATCAAAGGCATCATCTTTTGCTAATATTACTTATCCAGAACACGCTGAGCTTCTTACCTACCTGGTATTCGAATTATCATAAGATTACTGTAATAATGTAAAACGATTATAATCCTTAAATGAAACGCATGTACAGTGTAGAAAAATAAATAAAATTAACAAGAAATTCAAGTTTTGGTTATCGCTTTTTGGTAACACTTCATTTCAGGTCAAAACATGGAATGTTCAATTGGCCATTTGCGAGAAAAAACAGGTTCTGCTTCACGGCCGGGCAAATATTGTCTGAAAATCACTTAATGATGACATCGATTAATTGATCTTGATAAAAACAGATTCTTAATTCGATCGATATAAAAATCGACATTTTTTATAAAACATTACCGTTGGATAAGTAGCCACTTATCTTAACAACTAATTATCTTAATTACTGTTATTCTGTAAAGTATAATTTTCATCACATTTTTTCTAACCTTTTAAGATATGTAACATACTTAGGGGTATATGTATCATTACCACGTGAGGAACTAACAATATAAGTTTATTAGCTTTACAATTGAACAACTTCTGTTCATTAAAATTTGAATTTTTGATACCACATTAACGACATTCCTTGTTCTCGTTTAATATCAGAAATGACCAAGGTTAACAATTTAATTTATTAATACTTCCTTAAATGCGTTCATAGTGATTCTAAAATTCTTATTTACTTATCTGAAGTTGAAAACTTGTTAATTTCGTTTATTGCTCAAGTTGTATGCTGCCTTGGTAAGCTGGTTTGATAACTGGAACAATATAAACGCGATATGCACTCTTAATTTTATCTTTGATGTTCTACTCCATCTAGACTACTATCAAGCCATAAATTTTGATGGAAAACTATTACTCCTTAAGTCGTTTTATTGTGTCCAACGCCATTATTTCCACTTGAACGAATGGTGCAATTTAGAAGTGGAATTTTGATTAGGTACAGAAATTAGTAAATAATTAAATGCAGTAAAATATTTGTTATTAGAAAAACAATTAAGCTATGCAATAGGAACTCAAGTTTATAAATTTATAATAAAAACTGTAATAATAATTTCTTTCTGCAGCATCTAAACGTGTGAAATTCCAATTGCTTCTTTATTTATCTTTTATATTTAATTGTAACTCCCATTTTGAGATTAATTTAAGTCAAACTCGCAGTGTCGCAGTTGTTAATTACTCATGAAAATAATTACTGCGCACTTTTAAAGCATACAAGAAATTTTGCGCGAGAAAGTAATTTGTTTCCTGTACATCGTCTTTGATCTTTACCGAAAGTGCTGAAACGCTATTCTGGATGCTTCCAGAAATAAAGTCACACAAATTAAATTCAAAAGGAAGCATGGATAATCTACAACTGAAATTAAAAATCCTTAAATAATAATACGTTAAAACACTTTTATAACAAAAATTTTCTGTTATAATCAGGTAAATTGTAAATGACCAGAGTTTCACGTTTCTACGTATTTCTTTTCATTTAAAGTGTATTTTTACCCAAGCGTTCTTCGATATTACAAAGTATCAAAGCATCTATTATGTTTGAAATACCTACTTTATTCTAATGTTACTTTAACAACTGTGAAAGCAAAAAAATAATAACAAAATTATCCGAGTAAAATAGTCCATATTTTAAAAAAGAAAAATCGCTCTAATCCTCCGACATTACCATTCGATATTATTTCAGAAAGTAATAGAGGTTTTCATGAGTAGTATTTTTCAACTAAATGACTGGATTTGTCACCAAGAAGCGTCAAAGTTAACCTTAACTTTTTCTTCAGTTTTAAACATAAGGCTAATTAGAATACTAGTTAGGTTCATTTTGACATAATTTCAATATCTCTATAACATNCGACAGAAAAACTATTCGTGGAATAAAAAACACGTTCTATTGGAGCACTAGTCAGGAACATTCATTTTTCTAATTTAATTTTGATTCCTGGAGTTAATAAGGCAATAGGGGACGAAAATCGGGCTTTGCTCCGGGCGAACTATTTTCTAGACATGGCCCAGGTCGTAAAAGAAATACATTGCGGAAATATTCGATTGTGTTTATCACATATTTCAACGTTGTTTGCGACTTTCCCGCATTGTCGCACTTGTTAATACGTAAAATAAGTGGAAGCAGAAATGAAAATTATTGTGCTTCGAGAATGCAATTTGCGATCAAAGTTTATCTTGGTAATTATTTGTGTTACGTAATGGTCGAATTTCTTTTCTCTTTTTTTCATAATCCGTTCGCTGATTAATTGATCTTTAAAGCATTTTATCGTGCAATTATTCGAGTTGTCGACTGATCTTTTTTTGCGGTCGGCCCTATTTTATGTTGGAACATTTCATAAATTACCTACGGCACACCTGGGCAATCTTAATCGTTCCGTTGTTTATTATTAACGTACAAGTGTTCGTAGACTAGTGCAATTGATTATAAATATTCGCTACCGCACGTAATTTAGAATCAACGTATAAAATGTAATGGTTTGCTACTCAAATTAAGTCCATTATTTATTAGGTTTTTCTCCAGATAAAAATGACACTTTTTGAACCACTTCCCTTTAATTACACAGGCATTCAACAATGAAGCGGCTACTTCTTGTATCTTAGATCGATTAGGATAATTGAACTTAATTATTCTATGGAGTGGATTGATTTAAATCGTTCTTTATATTAATTGCTAATGACTGGAATCGAACAGTTACTAAATACATGCAGTTAGTATAATTACTAAACCTGACTAATTAACCATTTGTTCAGTAGATTGTGCGTGAAAATTAAGAAAACAAAGTTTATTTATGTAATTTTTATGTTGACTGTGACAGTAACTGTAAATATTAAGCAAAGTAAAAAGGATGGACTTATTATTTGGAATTGATGCAGTTCAATTTGTCATTGAAATAAATTATAAATAATGTTCACTTTCTTATATTCTGATATCGTAACCATGTGAGAGCATCACTTTTGTTGAATTTCATTATATTTATTTTCAGTAAATGTTAACCGTGACACCTGGATTCCTGCAAAAGATTTCGTCAATTCTTTGAAATTTAAATTACCGTAATAAGCATTTTGCACTGTTTCTCTTTACAATTTATGTAGGCAATCAACAGCATTAAATTAAACTTTATACACTCTAAAAGTCCTTTTTACTTAATTTAAAGTAGGTACCTCTCCTTTTTATGTGCACGCGTTTTCACGCCAGAATTCAAAAAAATACATATATTAAATAACCTTTAAGTCGTTTTGCCTGTCAAGAATTTCGTTTCATAATAACAAGACTGCACTTCTTTCACTTTTTTATTGTTGGCATTCTTGACGATAATTACCAATTTTATGGTCCAAGCTTGTTGTTTTGTGGCACTTCATAAAACTCTCGAAAGGTTAAAACCAATTTGCGGTTTCGGATATATCATGCAATCATTTCAAATATTATGACTGTTATTTGGTAATGAAACCGACATTAAGGTAGTACTCGCAAGAAAAAAAATTATATTTCTCTTTAGAACGATAATAAAGATCAACTAATTATAAAAATACTTGGATACTCGTTATTTTACGCTTTAAATTACAATAACATCAAAAATAAAACAGTTAAGGTGTTATTTGTCATTAAACAAAACGTATTTTAGTTCAGTTGGTGGACCAAGTGAGAAAGATGTAACTCTGCACAAAGAAGTTTTTAACATCCCGAATAAAAATTAGCGGTTGTGCAATCTTTCCTAAGGGGGTAGGCCCAATAATTGAAAAATTGACCAAAAATTACTTTTCTTTGAGCTTACATCTGTAAATAACTCGAGATCGAAATCTCTTAGAAGAAAATCGTTCTACACTTTTTTGTTTCTCGATTAATTTTCTACTACTTTTTTGTTTATTACAGAAAAAAAATGGACCTATAATTCAATAGGCTGACATTCAATAGAGGAATTGGTTTTGTGCGGTAAAAACATATCTAAAAAAAAAAACAGGAGGCCAAACTTGTGGCACTAAAATGAATTTTTGAAATATCAATATTTGCAAATTAAATTTTGTATAAACTACTTCATCTATCTTGACCTAAATTGTTGGTGTAACTGTAGATTTTCATCGTAAAAACCAATTCCTTTAACGATTATCACCGCATTCAATTTTCGCCTATTTTTTAATAATATCTTGTAGAAAATTGAAAAAGGAATGAAAAGGTCCAATGCAATTTTCTTCTAGGAGGCTTTGATCTCAAATTATTTACAGAAAAGTGTCACTTTTTCAGTTATTGCACTGCCATTAAAATTCCGTCCGTCACAACCAAATTGAAAGGAACCGATTATAATAATTATGGATAATAAAGTTTTGTGATATTAACTTACATCCAACTTCCATTTGATATGGACCTTCTTCCACCGCCTAAAGCATATTGTACCATTGCGAGTCCAAATAAGCAAGAAATTGCTCGGAAATTCCAGGGCCAAAATCTTCGTGCTTTTTTTCCAGGCATTTCTGCATGGGACAATGCCTGAAAACAATATAAAAAAATCTATTATAACTAATAAGTACTTGTTATAATTAGTTTTACATCCTTTATTCAGTTAATATTAAAACCCCTTTAATATTTTTTTCTTGTTTGCATAATGCTGTTATTTTATAATGGGTATTTTCTATTCAATATCAATACATCCGGGGACTTAAATATGGAAACACTTTCTAGATGTTAAAATTTAAT